ATCTCCAAACTGCTCAACCTCAGCTGTCATCTCTAGTCCGCTCCATCATCACCACTCAGAATGAAAAAGCTCAGCATCTTTTCGGCCGTCGACCTGCAGAAGATATTTTGGTTTTTGAAAATTATTCTGTTTTATTAAAACAAATTCACTGCAGACAGTACACGGAGTAAAACTGTTGAAAAAACAACAACTAGCTGTTCCAGATTTACAATAAAAGTTTGAAGTAGATAAAGTCAAACATTAAAACTATGGACTGATAGGCATAGATATTGTCCAAACAATTAATATCTGATTCTGATCTCAGCCAATACCGATATACACAATGACAATAATGAACTTTTCACCTTGACTTCGAATCTATTTTTAGGTTTAATCACGGGGGTGAAACTTGTGTTATCGGGTTTTCATTATCGACGGGAACGCCAATAACGAATCTTAGTAAAGTTACATAAAAATGCTAATATCGACATCCCTAAATGTTATCAGAGTTTTTATTATTCTCTTCAGGTTTGAGGTCAACAGAGCCTAAAAGTAAGAAAAGACAGATTTACCAACATGCTGTGTTTAGGGGAGTAGGGGAGGGGGGGGGTCCGTGGTCACAATATAACAGTATAATACTTATATTACCTTATATTTAGTTATATTTACTTTGAGCAATTTATATTGCTACAATAGAAAACTGAGGCTCTGTCACGAATGATGTGATTAAAATAATTATCATTAGCCAGTAAGTACTTATCACTGTCAAGTGCCATTTGACATTTGGTCCCTGCTGTATCTGCAGGACACGCATCACTGACAGCGGGGCGTCGTCGTCCTCCTCTATAGGCACACACCGGTGTCGTGTTTTGGATGGTTCCGTTAGCTTAGAGCATTATTAAATTACCAGAACAGAGGTTGAACCTCACTGCCGCGGCAGCTGCTCTGCACTGTTATTATACCACGTATGAAAAAGTCTGTATTAAATACATTAGAATGCACACGTGTCGTGTTACGGCTACTTGATGGAAAGGCATTCAGCAGTGATGATGCGGTCTTATCTCGACATAACACAAACATACCTGTTAATAGCGTTAAGCCTGCGGACCAAGGGGTCGCAAACTCCCGGTTCGTGGGCCATTCCTGGTCCATGAACCCTTCACATTTAATCAATGGCTAGATGTTAATCATTTAAAAAAAAAAAAAGTAATAAAATGCTTAAGTTGGTCATTTAAGAATGAGGGGGAAAAAAGCTTTGTACAACCTGTCTGTACTGTAGTATTAAAAAGTATTTATAGTAAATAATTAAAAAACATTTTCTAAAATATCTGCAATTTTTTGTGAACACTGATGTGGCCCTCCATTGAAAGGACGGGGGCAACAGTGGCCCCCGGCTCATTCAACTCAGAGATTTACAGCCTGTACAGAACGTTTACCAGCTGAAAACAAACAAAATTCTTAATAACTTGTATCTTTAACTCACCTGCAGCTCCGTCTCTGAGAGTAGATGCAGTTCCTCTCGTGTCCTGTGATCTTCAGCAACAAAGAAAAGCCTCCACATCAAGTTCTCTGTTGCTCCTTCCTGCCCTCACCAGTGACTTTGTGGGTAAACGTTAACACACACACACATGCAAACACACACAAACACAGATGAAATTCTCATGTTGTCATTCGTCACTGAGCGGCTCTTTTTAAGCCCAGTAATGTTCTGACCTCCTGACATTGTTTACAGAAAACCAGCTGGTGGATCTAAACGATAAATGAGTCATTGATTTAGACGGAACTAAGATGGAACATTGCAGAGTTTTAGCTTTTTAGCTTTTTTGGGGGGTGAAATAAAGGATGAATTCCAAAAGTCTAGAGTGACTGAGAGGGAGAACCAAAGCTGAGGAACTCATGGTGAGGAGAGAAGAGCAGAACCAACATGAACCCTCTCTCTTCAGACCTCAATCACAGACGATAAATGAAAGTTAATTTCTTTATGACTTGACCACAACAGTGACAGACGGTATCAGAACTAAATAACTTCGGGGAGCGTAGAGATTTTTCTGGGGTGCTCCGTAACAGGATGCTGAGGTGCAGCTGACGCGTCATTAGCAGAACCCTTCGGTGCATTTGTAAACAATTGCAAATGTAAGAGCTTAGGAATTTGTGGACTGCCTTCTATATCTGTTTAAGTCCAAATAAGTCTACAAAGAAAGGCCAGGCATATTGAATGTCACCTTTTATCGCAACTGAATCCCGCCACAAGAGAAAACTTTTCTGTGTCCCATGTGTCGCCTGTTCTCAGTCTGAGGGCACAGCAGATTGATAGACTATAATGGGTCCTAACTTAGCTCCGCCGACGACAGTTGGGCCTGAAACATCGGCAGTGAAGGTTTAATTTGTGACAAAAACATGTTTGTGGTTTTGATGAATAAAATATTGGTTTCTTCTCAAATTATGATTTTGATTCTGTTTTTCTAACCTTTTCATG